ACGGGGACACAGGGGACACAGGGGACACAGGGGGCACAGGGGTCACAGGGGTCACAGGGGGCAGAGGGGTCACAGGGGGCAGAGGGGACACAGGGGGCACAGGGGACACAGGGGCAGGGGGAACTGGGGGGAACTGGGAGCTGTCCCAAGGGGTCCCCACCAGTCTGGGCATGCTGAGGGTCTGGGGGCTGCTGGACAGACTGGGGTGTCCCCAGATGTCCTGGGGTGCTCGGGGGTGCTGGGGGTCCCTGCCAGGTCCGGGGGGGTCCCCGGCAGGCCGGGGGTCCCCACCTTGTCATCCAGCTGCTTGTAGAGCTTGCGGATCTCCTCCTCGTACTTGTGGCGCTCCTCGTCCGAGATGTGGATGACGATGGAGGAGCTGTTGTCGTTCAGGGGGGGCTCCTCGGGGACCCCGCCTTGGCCCTCGCCCGGGCCCGTCCCCGCCTCGGACTCGCTCAGCTGCTCGGTCTCGGGCACGGCCTCCCCTGGGGGAGACGCGGCCTCAGAGACCCCCTCGAGGGCTGGGGGACCCCCGGAGCTTGGGGGGCCCCCAGGGGTGGGGGTCCCAACAGGGCTGGGGGTCCCAACAGGGCTGGGGGTCCCCTCGCAGCTCAGCCTGTCCCGTGAAGGATGCGGCCTCGGGGTCTCTACTGGGGGCTGGGGGCTTTTGGGGTCCCCTCCCCACGTCTGGGGTCCACTCCCACAGTTGGGGTCCCCTCCCCACAGCTGGGGTCCCCTCCCCAGGGCTGGGGTCCCCCCACATCTCCGGCTGCCCTCCCGGTCCCGGGGTGCCCCTCCCGGCTCCCCCGTGCCCCCCCAGGGGACACTCTGTGCCTCAGTGTCCCCAGCGGGGCTGGGGGGGTGCCTCGGGGTCCCCCCCAGATTTCGGGGTGTCCCGGGGTCCCCCCCAGATTTCGGGGTGCCCCGGGGTGCCCCCCAGGTTTCGGGGCGTCCTGGGGTCCCCCCCAGGTTTCGGGGTGCCCCAGGGTTCCCCCCAGGTTTCAGGGTCCCCCCCGGGTTCCGGGGGCCCCCAGGTTTCGGGGCGTCCTGGGGTCCCCCCCAGGTTTCGGGGTGTCCCCCAGGTTTCGGGGTGCCCCTCACCGCTCCGCCAGCGGCTCAGCTCCGCCTCCAGGCGCTGCAGCGTCTCCCGCAGCGCTTTGTTCTTCTCCTTCTCCTTCTCGAACTTCTTCTTCCACTGCTCGGCCGTGAGCTCCAGGTTCACCGAGGCCGTGTTCTTGATCGTCTTGGCCCTGGGGGGCACCCCGAAACTGGCACC